TATTTTTCATATAACAATTTATTTAATATTATACATCAACTAAAATACTTTTTTTAATGCAAAAATTTGGTGGTCGAACTAAAATTCTTCCTTATTATAACAACCCTCCTTTAATATTAAATGTTATTATTCTAATATTCAATACTAATGAATTATATTTTAAAATTTTGGTTAGTATTAATTAATAATAATAAAGGAAAGTTAAATCATTCAAAAAATTAAATATAAAGTTTTTTATATAAAATCTCATCTGGTAATAATTTTCATTAGAAAAAAAAATATTAATAATATAAATAAAAAAGAAGTAAAAAAGTGTAAAAAAAATTAATTAAAAAGTTATGGATCTCATTAATATAAGAGAGATAAATGATAAAAGTTCTAAAAATAATTGTAATAAAATTGCGGGACCCACAAAATAAAAAATGAAAATGATATTTATAAAATTGTAAGAGGAATGATTATTCATGCGTAGGAGAAGTGATTACAAAGCTTAAGACAGGTCCCATCATTTGATTCTATTCCTATAATTAGGTAAACACCATCAAACGAAACGAAAAATTTGTAAACAGGGCCAAAGCGAACAACTTAATTGGCATATATCTCCAACGAAAAGGTTACGTCAGAGTATGTTTGAGAGTGATAGTAAAATTAGTGATTTTGAGAAAGAGATTTAAGTATAATTGATTTTTCAAAATCACCATCTAAGCGATACCAAGTGATTTTAAGTTTTCTTAAAATCAATTTCTTAATTTTGACCGTAGTAAAAGTGATTTTCATCCTGCTAAAATAACTCTCACACACCTTCATTCCCTCGAGACCAAAGGTTCAAACTCCTATACCTGAATTTATTTTACTAAAAACAAAGTAAAAAATCGATATGAATTTTTAGCATTAAGGTATGAGTTTAGTTCACCTTCTAGAGGAGTGAGTATGCAAAAGTAGGCATGGAACTTTGGAGTACAACTAATCCTATGAGTTAGGCTTCACAATCCTAATCCATCRATACCTAAACACCCTCAAATTAATGGACCCTTCACAAACTTTGTATATAATAATATTGCATCTTGCATTTGGTGGTCGTGATAGGGAAAAAATAGACACGAGTATTATTTAGAACACGGGACCACACTAAATTAAATGGAAATATATATAGAGATGAAAAAAATTTCACATAGTTTTGGGTCACGAGCATTTTTTTTTTTCAGTTTAACAAACATGTGAAGTGAGAATTTAAACTTTTAACTTTAACACCTCTCTATTTTTTTAATTGTTTAAATATATTTATAAACTTCTTTTAATCAAGTTATTAGTAAAAATATTATGAAATATTTTTAAAAATACATTTATTTAAATAATTAAATAATAAAAATACTTATTTTATCATAAAACTATCTAATTTTAGTAAATTATTGATTTGTGGTAACTCATCCTTCATGGCATAGGGCCGTCAGAGAACTAGGCATAAAAAAGAAAAAAAGCAAAACATCGGCATAGATGGTTTATGCCGGCACGTTGAAAAGCGTCGGGATTATGATTTTAAAAGCGTCAGCATAGATCGTCTTTCTCGTCTTTTTTAAAGCATTTTGTGATAAGTAGACCTACGCACCAGATATAGATATAAACTCAACTTAATTAACACAAGTTTAACTTAGTGATGATTGACATCTGTCTCTGGTCAAAAATCATAAATTTGAATCAAAAAACGTAATTCAATAAAAATCATAATGGATTACGTGATTCTAAGATATAATATAATTTTTTAGTATAATAATATTACACAGTTTTCAGAAACAACAAATTGGTCAAAAGATCAGAGCACCAAAATTTAGTTTGTATCTGCATGAGTTCGAATTAGAAGGTTGGAAACACAATTTTACTTTAGCAGAATCATCCAAAACTCAAAAACTCCCAAATTTGGTCATTTTCAATGTTAGTTCAAAAAGGTGGTGAAGTAAGCCAACAGTATCATTTCATCCACTGCCAAAGCTCAAAACAAGCTTGGATAATCAAACAAACTTTCCAACTCGATTCCTATCTAATAGAAAATGACAACTCACCCAACAATTTATTAAGCTTACAAACTAAATCATGCATATTTCCATGGAGAATGGCATGGTGATATAGGTTAACAGGGGATTATACACAAAATTCAAGAAGATCAATAGAATAATCAAATAACACTACAAGAAGTTGGACGTTTAGCGACATTTTGGAGCAACGAAAATCGCTTTTATCGCCAAAATATGTGACAAACTGTATTTGCTTCACTCTAACTTCGTCGCTAAAGAAGCGACGATACAAAGTTTCATTGCTGAAAATGCGACAGTAGAAGCGTGCAAAAAAAAAAAAAGTGTGGTTTTGGAAAAACAGTGAATCAAAACAACGTTGTTTTGTGGTTAGGTGAAAAAATGAGTTTCGTCACCTATTCAAAATGAGGTTGTTTTATGGCTAGCCTAGAGCAAGGACCACTCGCTCTAAGAATTATTGTATGAAGGGATGTATAAATCACGGAACCTAATTCCCTATGTAGCATTTGCGAGTGGAAATCCACCAACATATAGATGACCGTTTAGTAATCGACTCCCCCATCTGCGATACTCTTATGACTACAAAACTCGAGGATTTGCTACGTATTTTCTTTGAAGATGCTAAAGTGCAACCTTAGTCATTGTTGATGTAGAAATTTGGTCTCCTGGAATTCCTCCAAATTCGCACCAATCTTCTAGATGTAAAAGGGATCGACGAGATCTACAAATATAATAGCACTAAAATGAGTGTGGCTCTTGTCACATGGGGTCCGATGCTTAAGTTAGAATGAGAGTAGTCGAGTGTAGAGAGTAGGGTATTTCGACTTACCTCTAGGATTTGGTTTACCCTCTTATTTACAGAAGTCGAATCTTAATCACTTTAAGAATTATAGAAGTCGAATCATAATCTTTTTAGGATTCAACTTCTGTGTAACCCCAACCGAACCTAACTTGTCTCAACCCTCGATTCAACATTAGGCCCACAAAGTGTGATTCGACTGGGACTCAGGTCTCTCGACCTCTGTGCAACCCCAGGATTTCGTTGTGGGCCTAATGTTGAATCGAGGGTTGAGACAAGGTAGGTTCGGTTGGGGTTGCACAGAGGTCGAGAGAGAACCACCAAGGTTCTCGGCCGTGGTTGTTGACCTAGGCAGTTGGGTTCCGGCTTACCTGGTTTGTGAGTCTGAGCTTCTAGCTTAATCTCCCCTTCTGTTGCTTGGTCAACTCTTTTTTTATCTTTCCATAACAGTCATAAATCCATGAGATTGGAGACTTAACCCTTTGCCTTAAATCCATGAGATTGGAGACTTAACCCTTTGCCTTAAATCCATGGCACGACTTGCCTAGGAGTAAATGCCTAGGGTCGAACAATTTTCGCACCAAAACAAGGAAAAACTACCTCAGGATGTAGAGTAAACAGGAGAAGAAATTGGAAGAGATGTCGAAAGTTAGGGCATGAATGATCGACAAGAAAGAGCATTCATAAAGACGAGACATATACACCCTCCTACTTATCCTTGAAAGCCATGTGTATCTTAATTGTATGATCGATCAACATGGGGAAGAGGTGCACTTCTTGTGCACCGTCACATTGGAGGAAGAAACGACACTAGGAACAACACCCAAAGAATCCCATGACAATGACTATTTGTTCATTAAATCCTATGGCGAAGACGTGGATATGGACCAGACCACATCGTCATAAAAGGTCAAGCTCCACGACCCCCGATCTCGCTTAGCTAGGTCAAGCCAAAAAGTGGAGACCAATGTTATGGGTAGCATAACCAAGATGCCACATGGTTAAGGGTCTAAGAAGTCACCTCGGTGAAGTCAATGAGAGACATCGTGGATACAGTGACTTATGTCCCAAGTCAAGAAAGATCAATCTTAGGTGAATCTAACCGAGCACCAGCCCATAAGAAAGTTTGAATATGGACTTGAGGGGCAAGATAAAAGTACTAAACGAGGATTAGCCATAAGACCGAGGTGGGATGACACCTCGATCTGTCCCCTTAGTTCTAACAAATTGACAGATCAATGTGTAAGAGGGACAAGCCAAGGAGTTCCAAACAACCAAATGCATGTATGTACATGTATGAATAAAAATTAGTTGCGTCCTCATTATAAAGGAGACCACTAATGGCAGGAAAACATACAAGGTACACAATTCTAATAATACGACCTCAATTTTCTCTCATCCAAACTCTAACTTAAGAATTAGAGTTTCTGGTCTCAATACTAGGTTGTTGCTAAATTCCCTTCGTCGTAGTTGACACAAAGATGAACGACAATTCCTTAATGAGATGAAGAATACCATCTATCAGAATCATGCTCCCACTCATCGTGTACACTTATTACCCTAATCTCCTGAGAACATGGTCTCTAAATCAAGGATTTCTTGACCCGAATCCTAATCACTTAAATTACTATAAGAGCATACACAATACCCTCATTTATTGTTAGCTATGTCAATATCATTTAAGAATGATACAACGTCTAGTAGAACTAAATAATTATTTATAAAGAAAAAATTATGGTATGAATATAGGAAGTAGGTACTCTTGTTCTCTTTTTACATATATATATGAAGCGAGGTTCCAAACTTCCAACATTAATAAATTCAGCTATGACATATTGTCTCAGTTGTATAATTAAAACAATAAATTGAAAGCTAATAAAAACGAAAAAAACTTGACTCCTAGAGTTAAAAGAGATTCATGTTTAACATCATTAAAAATAAAAATAATAATAAAAAATAGGAGAGAAATGTAAAAAAAAAAAATTAGTAGAAAAAGAATGAGTTGTAAAATATCTAATAGTATTGAGAAGGAAGTTACTCGTAAAGTAACCTAAGTTTTTTACGTAAAAGAATGTAACTTTATTGAGGTCGAAATTTCAATCATTCGAGCTTGGTGTATTAAAAAAATCTTTAAAAAAGAAATGGAAAATAGAAAAATTAAAGAACAAGAAAAATCCATTTCCCCCCGCCCCAAGCTCAACCTCTCTGGTTCCATTTTTCTTCTCATATATAAACCCATCACTATCCATTAGTTGGTTCTCAATTTGTTCTTGGATTTTGACCGGTAAGGTAAGCCTCCTCTGAAATCTCCACGCTTCTTTTTTTAATTTTTCAATTTCTCTGATACCCTTCTGTCAAATCCATTATGTCACCCGGATTTTAGGTTGCGAATTTGAATGATTGGATCCGAATTGAGGCGCAAGAAAGTTCCAAATCTTCTTGATTCAGCGAAGAGGCTTTTTTTTTCTTTTTTTTTTTCTTTTTTATTGTTGGTTGCTCTAGCTTGGGTACTCGGTTAGAATTCTATCCTTCATTTTTCAAAAATTTGAGCTGATAATTGAATCATCTGTTGCCAAAAGTGATTTTGTTGATGATCCGATTGGTTCTTGCCAATTTGGTGGCCAATTTCTTATTTCTTTGGGTTTGAAAGAAGATTTCTCGGTTCTAATGTTTGCTGGATTCCGGTAGGGCTTATGTAGTATGTCTCCATGGTCTTTTTGGTGAAAGGAAAATATAGTTCTTTTTTCATTTCCATTGTTGTTCGAATGCGAAAGTTCCCTTGGTTTATTTATTTGAAGGTCAACTTTATAGAGGATTGAGATTATGATAAGTTGTATGAATATTCAGGAAGTTGACGTTGGGGAACATGGCCAGTAATGCAGCAGCCTGCGCAGAGAGGGCAACCAGTGATATGCTGATTGGTCCAGACTGGGCCATAAACATTGAGCTATGCGATATCATTAACATGGACCCTGGGTAATTTCAATTTGTGTTTATTATTTCTCCTTTTCAGGTTGATTGTGTTATAAAGACTGTAAGGAGGTGTAACTTATTTGCTCCAAATTTATCGTACAGTTACTAATTTGAAGTGATATGCTATCAACTATACCATGTCGTGATCTTTTCCCTCTCTTGTATTGTTTCTCTATCGAGATAGGAATTTTTAACTTTATCAAAGAAAGTAGGATGTATAGAAGCAGAACCAGTCCACCCCAGTTCAGGAACCAAGTGAAAATCACAAAAATTGTTCAAACTGGGGAAAGATGAAAAACAAAAGGAGTACCTGAAAAGTCTTTTATGACTGAGTCGTAAAATGAAGCTACAAACTTATCTTAAAATAAATGATTCTTTTAGTATGCAAATGCTAAGCTTTATCGGGATTTCTTTGGCGGTTGGTCTCGAAAGAGAAAGAACTGCTTTTGGGAATTGTTCCATTCCAGTTGTCTATTGGATTTTGTGGTTGGAGAGAGATTAAGAGAATATATTTGTGAATCAAAATTTCTACTAGTTGTTCAAACTTGGAGAGTTTTCAATCTGGTTCTTCTCTTGATCCATTTGCAGAAAGAAATATCTGGTGAATGCCTAACACGAAATGTCTTATGAGTGACTAAAAGTTTCCTTTTCTTAATGCTACAGTATTAATGAGTGATCATTCCATGTTAGTTAGATCCAGTCTTTTAGTTTTATTTTTAATGTTTTCAACCTCTTACTACTGTTTTGTCTCTAGGATAAATGCCATTGCAACAAGTTGCTTGAACTTGAAAGCCTCTTTAATCCATTTACAGAAAGAAATATCTGTTGAACCACCAATATATCATGTCTTACGATTAAATTTCTGAATACAAGTTTTCTTTTCTTGATGCTACAGCATGCAAAAGAGATTCTTTCCATTTTTAGTTTTATTGACTTTTTTAGAATCTTGCTTATTGTTTGAACCTCTTGTCACGTTTCAAGTTTTCTCTTCCACATAATTTTTCATTTTAAAATCAATACGCTTTTTCTATGTATTGCATTGGTTTTGAACTTTGATCATCGTTTCAAATTGGCAATGTCAGGCAAGCAAAGGAGGCATTAAAGATACTCAAGAAGAAGCTAACAAACAAAAATCCCAAGATTCAGATTTTGGCTCTTTTTGTAAAGTTCTCTTTCCCTTGTCAAATCAGAACTTATCAATGAGACGTATGTTCTTGCATGATTTAACTGAACAGACCATGGCATTGATTAATTCATTAAATGTAAAGCTATTGTATACCATACTTGCATTTATAATAAACTTTTCTTTGAGAATGTGTGGGTTTTCTGTATTTCTTGACAATTCCGTTATATTTTGGTCAGCCCATGTATAATTTATTACTTGGTGAATGATTTGAGGCTCTCTTACTATATCCAATATGAAAATCTCACTATGTCTTCTTTGAATGATTAATCATCTAGGCTCTGGAGACTGTCAGCAAAAATTGTGGTGAGAATGTGTTTCAGCAGATTGTTGAGCGTGACATCCTGCATGACATGGTTAAAATAGTGAAGAAGAAGGTGATTTTTTTTTTCTGTATAAAGTATGATATATGACTATTAAATGAATGACTTGTTTCCGTAGTTCCATTTTGTTTGTTCATTGCTTGCTGCTTATTTTTCTTCTTTGCAACCTCAGACAAGCATGGTAATTCTTTGTTTCAATATGTTCCAATTTTGCAGCCAGACTTGGGTGTGAGGGAGAAAATACTAACTCTGATAGATACATGGCAAGAAGCATTTGGGGGACCAAGGGGAAGGTATCCCCAGTGCTATGCTGCTTATAATGAATTAAAGGTGATTATTGTTTTCTTTTTATCCATTATTTCCGAAGCCTGAAACTATGTATTGTGATCACCTTCTTGCTTTATAAGTTTTTAGCACTCTCTCATTTCCTTAAACAGGAGGTATTTTGATGTTTTTTTTCTCTTCTTCTTCATCCTTGCGTATTAACAATTTAACTAGTAATTGCCTGAATCAAATTATACATATCATTTTCACCGGTTCCTATTTTGAATTATTTCAATTCATTCATTTGTATCCAAGCTATGCATTAAAACTCGTAAATTTTATGTTCTTTGGATGGTAGGAATTAAATATCACTTTGTTGCATTTACAAGGTATTATGCTGCTGCAGGGCTTCTTCTCGATATCCCTTCATTTCGATACTATGTCATGATATAAGTAGGCAGTTTTTTATGTATCACAGAAAAACCTGATAATTGATCTTTATGGTGCTTCTTCAATCTCTAACTCTCTCCATACATTCTCAAATTCTTATGCTAAGAAGTTCAGAGGGTGCATATATGCCAAAGACCCGAAGGAGGAGCCATCAACAAAGGAGAAATTGATGATCAAAGAGAAGAAACCTCCAATAACACTTGTACTGTGGAAAGAGAAGAGAATCCTTTCTAAAGAATACGTATACCACCTGAAGGGAACCAAAAGAGTTGAGGGTACCACCTGAGGGGAACCAAAAGAGTTGAGGGCAGCCAACTTATGCTTTTCAAGCTCCAAGTGGATTTGGTGAGCCTTCCTCTATCAATGGGGGAGTTTGGTTCTAGAGAATACAATAGGGAGGGATTGACTTTGATAATTGAAGATTTGACCATAGCTCTTTATTTCAAAGCTTCAAAGACTTCAGACATTCCAGTTGGGAATTCTCATGAGGAACCATGAGATTCCCATCATTTGAAGAGACTGAGGCTTGTTGTGATTGATGGAAGAGTGAAGGTTTAGTAGCTGTAGCTCTCTAATGCTTGAGATTATCCTTTTCGCCACTTTTTCTTTTGTTTAGAGGGGGCGAAGCCAGTGAATTTCTTTTTAAATTTGATGTGGGTTTTCATGCAATCTAGTTACTGGAGGGTTTTAGGAGTGCATTCAATACAGTTACCACAAGCATTGCTAACACGAAGGAATGAGTCCAAGTGTCAACTAGGAAGAGGCACATTTCTACTGACAATGCTTTTGGAGTGCTTGAGAGCATCCCATCTTTCCAACAGTCGGGTAAATCTTCTTCCCGTTACGTGCCATCCAACTTGTAAATAGAGGATCCTTGCTTGGTGAAAATTTGCATTTGAGGAGGGTTCTTATCAACTTGGAAGAGGGCTAATGGAACAATAGGGGTTTTTGACAAATAAGCAAGAACGTTACTCAGCTACTCAATGACTCGGTCCTATCTCCTTGCACCAATCTCTTAAATCCATAATCTTCGAATCTTGGTTTGAAAGATAGCAAAGGATATTTGAAGACCTTCCATTTTTAAAGCTTCACAATGGTGCTCTCTAACCATCATGGGTGGCCCATTGGTCCAAAGGGACTAGGGTTAATTAAGAGGGAATGGGTTCAAATTGGCCACCTACCTTAGGAATTAGTAATTCTTATGTGTTTCCCGGCACCAAATGTTGTAGGGTCAGGCGGTTACCCCGTGAGATTAGTCGAGGTGCACGTAAGCTGGCTCGGAGACTCACGGATATAAGACAAAAAGACCGAGCTAAAAGATTCTTACTTACAAGGATCATAATGAACCTTTTCCTACAATTTAACAAGCTGAATGGTATCCCTTTGCTGTTGGAGGTTTTTTATCCAAACCACATAACATCACTTCTAGATTCTCTGAAGAATTTTTGATTTAGGGAAAACATGAAAAGGTCAGCTAGGCGAGAGCAGCCCATTGAACTGATAGAGAGTAAGAAATAACTTTTTCTGTTTAAAGATTTTGGCTCTGCTGCATCTAAAGCACTATCAATCTCAGTGGTGAAAGTCTTCTTTTTCACAACCACAACCACAGCATGCTGCTTGTAGCTCCAGCCCCGGCTAGTGAAGAGTAAAAGAAAAACAAACTAGACCAGGGTATGGGGGGAGGCAGAAGGGAACGACTTAGGTTAGGAAGAATGAAACATGGAAGAAGGGGGCAGGGACATAGAGGATATTAGGAAAGAGAATTTCAAATAATCCAACTAGAATTTTGGTTTATGGGTTCTGTTAAAAATAATTATGTTGTCCAAAATTTCAATTTGTTTGGAGCTGTTTGATAATGCTTTTTTTTTTCTGTTTTTAAAAATCATGTTTGTTTATAACATGTTTCTTTTCTAACCGAATTTCAAAAACGTTTGGACACATTAAAAAGAAAAGTTTTCAAAACAATGGGTGTCCCGTTGGTCAAAAGGGTTCAAGATTGATTGGGTTTTCAATTTAAAATTTGAAGCCAACTTGGTTCAGCTTCTGTGTGGGACTTCGCATTCCTCTTCTACGGCTCGACTTTTATGGATTTATGCGGTTAAAAGCTTCCTCTCAGAATTATGGTTTGAGCGGAACACAAGGCTTGGGCAAATGAAGATCTTTGTTCGATTGTTTCAACTCAACCAAATTTAAGGCCTCTCATTGGCGTTCTTTGGCGGATTCCTTTTCTCATTATTCCCTTTCTGTTATTTTTAACAATTGGGGTGTTTTCATTAGTCCAGAGTAGTTCTCGTAATTTTTATATTTCCTTGTTCGTTATGTCTTTTAATATATATATATATATATTTTGTATTTTCACTCTTTTGAGACTTTGTATCCTTGAACAATTTTATTCCTTTTCATTTCATCAACGAACAGTTCGTATCTTGTTAAGGAAAAAAAAAACACAATGGGTGACCCATTGGTCCAAAGGGGTTAGGGTTAATTGAGAGGGAATGTGTTTAAACATCATTATGACCACCTACCTTAGGAATTAATTCCTATGTGTTCCCAACACCAAATGTTGTAGGGTCAGGCAGTTGGACTGTGAGATTAGTCGAGGGACACGCAAGCTCGCCCAAACACTTACATATATATATATAAAAAAAAAAAAAATTGTTTTAAAATTTGACTAAGGTTTAAGTAGTTTTTATAAGCTTAATTTTTAAAATGTAAATTAAGCAGAAGGTTTAGGTTTAAGTAGTTTTTAACCAAAAATGAAATGGTTATCAATAGGTATCTAAGGATTCTTCCAATTGGTTTTTATGATGTCATTTTCTGTTCTCTTTTATTATGGTGTTATTGGGTCTCACTTTGGGTTGAAGCTTCCTCTCAGAAATGATCCCAACTCTTTAACTGTTGCCAACAGGATGAGTTTCTGTGATTCCTGGTTCTGGGTTAGAGAATATCTTTCCTTTCATTTATTGAAAGAAAATCTGTTTGTTTAAATAAATTTGTTTCATATCTCTCCACCTCCCTCCCATGTGGAAAAGTAAGAGGTAAAAAATTATTCCAACTTTCCAATATTAATATTTTAAAAAGTGGTCTCTTTCCTTCGTGTGTTGTGTTGCTGATATCGTCATCTGATTTCTTTTTTTCTTATGTACCCAACATTATTTGGATATTCTAGTCTGTCATTCTTAGTATAGTTTCTGGTCTGGCCTTTTGCAGAATGCTGGAATTGATTTTCCACCAAGAGAAGAGAATAGTGTTCCGTTTTTTACTCCACCTCAAACCCAGCCCATTGTTCATCAACCTGCTGCAGCTTTTGAGGATGCTGCAATTCATGCCTCTCTTGAATCTGATGCTTCTGGGCTGAGGTACCTTTTTCTTATCTTCCTCTTCCGTGTTTGTTTGTGATGCTTGATTGCCATTCCACCACTAAATCATCTACATATCTATTTTTATGCCACTATCACATTACTTGAATTTTGTAAAACGTGTTACTCATTCTGCTAGTATTCTTCCATAGCCTTGTGCACATTTCTCTCAGAAAGTAAAGTTATTCTAACTGCTGTCTTTCAATCTGAGTTTATAAGGTATCCAATAAGCTTATCAAATAAAAAACTGAACCACTTAATGTATAATAATAACAGATAAATGGCGGATAAACCAAAATAGTAAACTAAAAGCTTTTAGTACATCAGCCACCCACATGATTAATACACCCTTGCCTTGCCCATTTACTGGTTTGGTGCTGCCCCATAATTTTATATTATCCCAGTGTGGTGTTCTTAACTTCATATGACGTCAAACCGCTGATGATGTGCAATGACATTGGTTACTCATGTTTTAATTTTTGTCTTACACTGCGATGTTCATGGTAAAAATCTAGGAAATCATATGTTCGGATATCCACTCTTGCATTTATTTTACCTTTGCAACCAAAAAAAATATATATATATTGCTTTCTTGGACTTTACCCCTTGAGGATAATATTGAACGCTGCTATAGTTGTTTGATATGTTTTATTTCTTTAACAAGTTTCCACTTCTATCCATCTTCGTTAAAATAAACTAAGTTATTTTTGTCTTTAGTTTTGCACTGAGGTATTAGAAATTGATTATTAACAACTCAGATTCCTTCCATAATAATCAAGTTTTTCGGCATTATTCCTTATTGCCAAAAAACTTGATATTATATATCAGGCAGTCCTATTTGATGGGCAATCGATTGCTTTGAAATAAAAATTTTACTTTCAACAGCTTGCCAGAAATTCGAAATGCACAGGGGCTTGCAGATGTGCTAATGGAAATGCTTGGTGCCCTGGACCCTAAAAAACCAGAGGTATCTTTTCTTCGCGTCTAATATTGATTGAATTTTGTAGTATAAAAGTTTAAATTAAGCCGATTGATATAGTACAAATTTTGTTTCAAGATTCAGGAAGTTGTGAACTATTTTTTTAACTTATGTACCTCACTATTGTTTTGGTAGACTGCTTGAAGTAAAATAGGCATAGAATTTTTTGTAAAAGTAGTCAAATAGTTTTTTTTGTTAAGTTTAGAAAGTATAGAATCCTATTCAATAAGTGTAATGCATTAGCTCTCGGCTCTTGGTTGGGCAGAGAAAGAAAATCACTCATTTTTAAAATCAGCATTCTTAAGATCAAAATCAAAGAGGCGGGCAGAAAAAGGGGGCTAGATGCAAACAAGGGTAGTAATTCGTTTTTTTTTGAACAAGATACGAACTTCTCATTAAGATAATGAAAAGGAACAAAATGTTCAAGGATACAAACTCTCGAAAGAGTGAAAATTGAAAT